TGGTGCGATCGCTGTTAAAGCTGTGGTTAAAGGATGCAAGATCATAATCACTGAGCAATATATCAGGGAAACACTGCTGATCGATGATCAACCCGATTTTCCTACTGAAATTAGGATTGATGATGTTCAGAAGATTCTCAGAAGGATGGGATATGAGGGCATCTACCCTCCCACAGTGAAGAAGCTTATGCCTCCCTACTGGAGATTTTTGGCACATGTGTTCGTGAGCTGTATCTCGGGGAGGAGATCAGGAGCTGATGAAATCTCTCTCAGGAACACAGGGGCAATCGTTTCCTTGGCTGCTGGCATCAAATTCAACTTCTCGAAGTTCATTCTGGATGAGTTCTTGGTAAATATCAACGCTATAAGCCGGGAGACCAGAGATGCATTCTTGCTATATCCGAGATTTATTCAGGTGTTCATCGACAACCAGTTCCCGGAAATGGTCAAGGATGGTGACAATCTGGATATAAAGTCATTAGGTCCACACACGATTGGTCTTATTAAGCAAAATCGCAAGGGCAAAGTCGTATTCCAAGGATTACATCCTCTGGTGAAATTCGGAAAATTTGCTGAGATTGATGAATCCTCCGAATCTCATGGAACATCTGACAAGGTGTCATCCGAGCCCACTTCCTCCGAGAGAGTTGTTTCTGAAGATGTCATCACAGTGTCAGATCGTGATGAAGAAGAAACTCCAGCTGCTAATGCTCAAGTAGCTGAGGAACACGAATTGACATCTGTTCAAGTACAAGGAGATTACAATGAGGGGTCTGGAACGGAGACTGATTTGTACGAAGGCCTCGACCTCACATGATTCGATAACGATGAAATTCCTCTCAACTTCGGCAGTAATGAAGATTTCATGACTGGGGTTAACCTCAACACGCTGCTTGACAATATCAATGAAGTTGCTCATCCAGCAACGGAGATAAGGGATAATGAAGATGTTCTCGAAGCTACGCCTCCTCCTACCAATCCATCGGCGGAAATACCAATTCCTATGGTGACTGTATCAGGGATTCCTCCCCTTGATGTTGTTTTACCTACTTCTGAGCCTTTGGAAAGTGATCATACAACTACACAAGCCTCTCCTCCTCCAACTAAAAGACGAAGACTTGACCCTAGACAGGGAATTCTTGACTCGGGTTCACTTCAAAGTTTTACAGCTCCACCAACAACAACTCCTGTTATCGTCTCATCTGAACCTATCAGTGAAGGTCCTAGTACCTTCTATGAAACTGGTGGATCTTCCTTCCCCACAGATTTCTCTCCTCCCAGGCCAGACCATGATGCTGCCTCAGTTAAGCTAGCCAGGCTCTTGGCCGTAGAACAATTTACAACGCCTCCCCCACGCGGCAAAGGAATTTCTATTGGGGGTGACAGCTCAGGAGAAGAGAATCCTTCACTTCTTGGACTCCAGAAAGAGATCGATGCTCTGAATCAGAAAAATGTTGATTTAGATCAGAGAAATATTGAGCTGAATATCAAAGTCACAGATCTTCAATCTGAGAATACAAAGCTCAATATTCAAGTCGCCGAACTTATTGAAGACAAAGCTCTGAAGTCGAAGCAAATTACAGACCTTCAGACACATTTTGGCTTACTGACCGCCAGCTACTACGATCTAAAGAAGAAGCTGGAAGATAAATTTGGCGACGAATTCAAGTCACCCGTTGACGAGCCAAAGATCTATCTTCCCGACCAAGATGCTCCCATAGCTCCACGAACTACAAAATCAACCACCGTTGTTAACCGTTTTAAAAAGGCACCGGCTCAAGCTCCAAGTATATTGGCATTGAAACACGCTAAATTGGCCCAGTCAGCTGAAAAGGGTCAACTTTTATTCAAAAGGAGCTCAGAACATAATGCCCCTTGGGATCAACAAAAGATCACCGTTACGGATCTGGGCGAACATCGTTTCAGAGACGTTTACGGTGATAGGTCAGGAATCATTTCGTGGGGATTCCATGACACAATGAATATGTTTATGGTGAAGAGAAAGAGCGGCAACACTGAATTATACAAAGATGCTCACGGTTTTCATTCTTTCACGAGGATTGATCTTACGGAGCTGTCCAAGGCTCCTTTCTCAAATCCATCAAACAATCCCAGGGCGACTCAGTTCAAATCTTTTTTGGAAGATCAAGTAGCTAAGGGCTTCCCTTCGATGAAGACTGGTGAGTCTATAATCAAGATTTACCCTAGCGTCATTGATCCCAAAACAAGTAAGCCACTTCGTTCAGTAATGTGGCCCGCTACTGCTCAAGTGAAGCAGGTTCCCGTTCTTCAAAATTATCCAGATGGATCTCTCGCATCCATGCTATATTGGGTGTATGATGAATCCACAGCTGTTGTTGTCATCAAGTTTAAAGACAATTGTATTCGCTTATATGACAAAAGGGATTTGCTTCAATTTGGCAAGTGGGATATTCATCAGCTCTCCATTCATCAGATCATAGTGGCTGAAGAACTTTTTGAGTCCGCTGCAAAGGAGTACACCTCGATGGTTGCTGAGATTATCGAGAAAGAGATGTGGAACGGAGCGATGGGAAAATCCGATGTGCTGGTGGTCGACAAAAGCTGAGTCCAAGCTAGCACCAAACCAAGGGGGAGATTGAAGGGTCCAATTAATGGTTTGGTCTAGGCTTTCAATGTAATAAGTTCAGTATGAGTCTGTAATACGTTTTGTGGGTTGTTTAGGTGATTACAGTCAGAAAGTGTGTTTACGACCGTAAACAGAGTTTACGGCCGTAAACCCTGTTTACGGTCTTGTCCAGTATAAATAGCGGAGGTATACGTCATTATGTGGTAGTTGATGCCATTGCGTTTATAGAGTGTTCCATCGAGTTGTACCTGACGTTTTTATGAATATAAACGTGTGCAAGCTCGATTTCTTTCCTTCTTTCCCTTCTATTGTGATTGTTTGTTGATTGATTACTGGTAAAGATCCTTTCTAGGACCTTACACAAAAATAGTCCAAACGAACAAAAAAGATATTTTTAATGTTAATAATAATTGTAACAACCCGGAACTTCTATCTTGTACACTTAGTCAATTCAATCAATAATCAACTTGTTTTGTTGGTTTCTGGTGCTATTTAAGGGTTCTAAACTTGTATGTGACCAAGGTTGAGTTTAGGGATGGATCAGAGTGTAGCATAGCGAGAAAATCGGGCCATACACACCTCTTGTAGGAGTGTACGGCCGTACACATGGGTGTGCGGTCGCACACCCACTCCCTTGGCAGCACACTCACTTTTGGGCAGCACTCTCACCCCTATATAAAGGATGGACTCCTTTCCCCTTCATTCTTTTCACTCCTTGGCAGCACACTACTCTATTCTCTCAAGTTTATCCAACTTTGAACCTTCCAAAGCTTCAAGAACGTGAGTACTTCTTTCTCTAACTTGCAATCCATAAAAGACCACCTTATCTAAGCCTTATGGGTGCAAAATTGTCATGATCTTCGTGTTTAGAAGTGAGTGCGGCCGCACACCCTTAAAACACCCTCCAAAGTGAGAGTTTGACTTACATATTCGATATAGACATGCCTCTAGCCTTGTTGCACCTTGGAATTGACAATTTTTGGGCATCATTTCGTGGGGTGTACGACCGCACACACCTGTGTACAGCCGCACACACCCCTTGTGCGACCACACACCCTAGTGTGCGACCACACATTCATCATAGGGCCGCAAACCCACTTCTAAGACCCCTATCTTGCACCACAATTGAGTATAGACCTAGAACACTTCGTAGATGTGAGTACGGACCTTGAGAACACTTCGAAGGCACCTCATTTCATGAGTGTACGGCCGCACACCCATTGGGCCGCACACCCATTGCCGCACACACACTCAAGGTGGCTATACACCCCCTATACTCAATCCTACAAGGTCCTATCACTTGGTGTCTAGTTTAAGAAATTTAAATTAATTTATATACATAAATTTAATATTTTAAAATTATCATTTTGCTTCAAATGAAATTTCTTAATAACATTCCTTAATTCAAGTATTCAAACTTTTGGCAAGTATTAATGATAATTATGCATAATTGATTTGTATAAAAATCTTTGTAACTTATACCTCTTAAAATTCAAGATATGACTAATATGCTTTATAATATAGTATAGTTTTCTTACAGGGTAATAAGTATTGGATTTAATTATTAGTTATTAGGTAAAAAATTAGCACTTTTAAATAAAATATTTATGTTTAGACCTCATGTTTATATTGCATGTTTATATATTTTATTTAAATTAATTAATATTGGTGTCTAGTTTAAGAAATTTAAATTAATTTATATACATGAATTCAATATTTTAAAATTATCATTTTGCTTAAAATTAAATTTCTTAATAACCTTCCTTAATTCAAGTCTTCAAACATTTGGCAAGTATTAATGATAATTATGCATAATTGGTTTGTATAAAAAGCTTTGTAATTTATATCTCTTAAAATTCAAGATATGACTAATATGCTTTATAATATAGTATAAGATATGTATATTAATTCTTCCGCTTTATATAAGAAATTAATATTTAGATTTTTGTATTTATATTTTCGGGTTTTTGGGTCTATCTGGGTCTAAAACTCAACAATTTTCGGTTCCAACCTATTTAATAACCATTTTACCCGGTCCGATGGTTTGATACCTGGAACTGAAGCCGTCTCATTTATTACGGTCCGGTTCTCGGATCTTATAATCGTTTAACTCCGATTTCTAGATTTTCCATGTGCGATTCCAATCGGGTCTGAGTCTAACCCCACTTTCATCCCAACTAACTGACGCATCAACATCCTTGGTCCAAAAGAGAGCCAAGACAAGTTTTTTTTCTTATTTTTGTTGAATTATTTGGTTTTGGATGATTCGATTTAGATAATCTTTCTGATTTTGTATGCTAGCGGTGATGTGCACGATATCTGCATTTTCAATCTCATTGTACGATGATAATTAATTTAATGAATTAGAATTTATCATAAAAAAATGGTTTCACACTCAAGGCGTAATTGTGCATGGAAATAGCGGAACGGGTGCTAACCTTTATTAATTATGCTTTGAATGTCGAAAATGATCAAGTTTAATTTCGTTACTTTCCCTCTCTTCAAAAGCTCCGCTTCTTTGTTTATAAAAAATGCTTCCGTCTTCAAAACTTCTTCGTCCAACATTTTCAAAAATTCATCTACCTAAATATTGATAAACATATAAATTTGTAAATATAACAAAAATTAACAAAAACTAAGATCTAGATAATTACCAGCTCATCCTAGACGTGATCTTCAGATTCTCGCTATAAACATATCAAAAAATTAGTTCCATGAATCTAAAAAAGGAAAACATTAATATATGTACAATGAAGCAAAAATTACATAGTGCAGTGAGTGTTTGACTCTCTTAATTTGTTTCTTCAATATTGAGTAGCAAACATACTCTTCTTTCCATCCAGGATTAAATGTAAATTCAACTTCTGATTTAAACTTCACCTTTATGAGAGAGAGAGAGAGAGACAGACAGAGAGAGAGTCACATGAGGGTGCTTAATTATAGAGGAGTTCCTGTAGGCTGACCTTAGCGAGGAAGAAACATTGATTGAGGAAAAGTATATGCATGATGTTGTGGTAAAAGTTTGTGTGCATCTAAGGTTGTACCCTAGTACCTCTATATTTATCCTTCCACTTTACATCGATGAGAACCTGATATATATACTAGAGGTGTGCCCGCACAAAGCGGAGGAGATAAATAACTGTTTTGACGAATAGTTTTCTTACAGGGAAATAAGTATTGGATTTAATTATTAGTTATTATGTAAAAAAATTAGCACTTTTAAATAAAATATATATGTTTAGACCTTATGTTTATATTGCATGTTTATATATTTAATGTAAATTAATTAATATTGGTGTCTAGTTTAAGAAATTTAAATTAATTTATATACATAAATTTAAGATTTTAAAATTATCATTTTGCTTCAAATGAAATTTCTTAATAACATTCCTTAATTCAAATATTCAAACGTTTGGCAACTATTAATGATAATTATGCATAATTGATTTGTATAAAAATCTTTTTAACTTATACCTTTTAAAATTCAAGAAATGACTAATATGCTTTATAATATAGTATAGTTTATTACAGGGTAATAAGTATTGGATTTAATTATTAGTTATTAGGTAAAAAATTAGCACTTTTAAATAAAATATTTATGTTTAGACCTTATGTTTATATTGCATGTTTATATATTTAATGTAAATTAATTAATATTGGTGTCTAGTTTAAGAAATTTAAATTAATTTATATACATGAATTTAATATTTTAAAATTATCATTTTGCTTAAAATTAAATTTCTTAATAACCTTCCTTAATTCAAGTCTTCAAACTTTTGGCAAGTATTAATGATAATTATGCATAATTGATTTGTATAAAAAGCTTTGTAACTTATACCTCTTAAAATTCAAGATATGACTAATATGCTTTATAATATAGTATAAGATATGTATATTAATTCTTCCGCTTTATATAAGAAATTAATATTTAGATTTTTGTATTTATATTTTCGGGTTTTTGGGTCTATCTGGGTCTAAAACCAGTAACTGGTTCTAATCAACAATTTTCGGTTCCAACCGATTTAATAACCATTTTACCCGGTCCGATGGTTTGATACCTGGAACCGAACTGAAGCCGTCTCATTTATTACGGTCCGGTTCTCGGATCTTATAATCGTTCAACTCCGGTTTCTAGATTTTCCATGTGCGATTCCAATCGGGTCTGAGTCTAACCCCACTTTCATCACAACTAACTGACGCATCAACATCCTTGGTCCAAAAGAGAGCCAAGACAAGTTTTTTTTTCTTATTTTTGTTGAATTATTTGGTTTTGGATGATTCGATTTAGATAATCTTTCTGATTTTGTATGCTAGCAGTGATGTGCATTTTCAATCTCATTGTACGATGATAATTAATTTAATGAATTAGAATTTATCATTTAAAAATGGTTTCACACTCAAGGCGTAATTGTGCATGGAAATAGCGGAACGAGTGCTAACCTTTATTAATTATGCTTTGAATGTAGAAAATGATCAAGTTTAATTTCGTTATGTTCCCCCTTTTCAAAAGCTCCGCTTCTTTGTTTATAAAAAATGCTTCCGTCTTCAAAACTTCTTCGTCCAACATTTTCAAAAATTCATCCACCTAAATATTGATAAACATATAAATTTGTAAATATAACAAAAAATAACAAAAATTAAGATCTAGATAATTACCAGCTCATCCTAGACGTGTGTGAATGAAAAGAAAATAACACAAAAATAGTCCAAACGAACAAAAAAGATATTTTTAATGTTAATAATAATAATTGTAACAACCCGGAACTTCTATCTTGTACACTTCGTCAATTCAATCAATAATCAACTTGTTTTGTTGGTTTCTGGTGCTATTTAAGGGTTCTAAACTTATATGTGACCAAGGTTGAGTTTAGGGATGGGTCAGAGTGTAGCATAGCGAGAAAATCGGGCAAACACACCTCTTGGAGGAGTGTACGGCCGTACACATGGGTGTGCGGCCGCACACCCACTCCCTTGGCATCACACTCACTTTTGGGCAGCACTCTCACCCCTATATAAAGGATGGACTCCTTTCCCCTTCATTCTTTTCACTCCTTGGCAGCACACTACTCTATTCTCTCAAGTTTATCCAACTTTGAACCTTCCAAAGCTTCAAGAACATGAGTACTTCTTTCTCTAACTTGCAATCCATGAAAGACCACCTTATCTAAGCCTTATGGGTGCAAAATTGTCATGATCTTCGTGTTTGGAAGTGAGTGCGGCCGCACACCCTCTTAGGGTGGCCGCACACCCTTAAAACATTCTCCAAAGTGAGAGTTTGACTTCCATATTCGATATAGACATGCCTCTAGCCTTGTTGCACCTTGGAATTGACAATTTGGGCATCATTTCGTGGGGTGTACGACCGCACACACCTGTGAACGGCCGCACACACCCCTTGTGCGACCACCGCACCCACCCCTTGTGCGACCACACACCCTAGTGTGCGATCACACACTCAAGTGTGCGACCACACACTCATCATAGGGCCGCAAACCCACTTCTAAGACCCCTATCTTGCACCACAATTGAATATAGACCTAGAACACTTAATAGATGTGAGTATGGACCTTGAGAACACTTCGAAGGCACCTCATTTCATGAGTGAACGGCCGCACACCCATTGGGCCGCACACACACTCAAGGTGGCCATACACCCCCCTATACTCAATCCTACAAGGTCATATCACTTGGTGCACATAGTTTCAAGTATCTAGAGTGAATTCCAAGAAAAGTAAAATAGTTAGCTTTTAAATCCAACACACATGTGATAAATATAAAAAAGAAACGTAAAATAATTACCTTTTAAAAATAATGTACTAAAACAACCAGGGGAATAAAAAATGAAGAATTTGCTCATAGAGAAACCCAAATTTAAAAGATTTGGAATTAAAAATTCTTATTTTTAAAGTCATTTTCTGCAAGGGAGATATGATCATGGACAAACAGCTACACAAAGAAGAAAAGTCGATAAAGGTCAATATAAAGACCCCATAAAAACAAAAAAACCCAAATTTAAAAGATTTGGAATTAAAAATTCTTATTTTTAAAGTCATTTTCTGCAAGGGAGATATGATCATGGACAAACAGCTACACAAAGAAGAAAAGTCGATAAAGGTCAATATAAAGACCCCATAAAAACAAAAACTGCAACATTGGGAAAGATGCTACTTGATATTAAACTAAATTTGGTCGATTTCACTTTTTTTAAGCAAATTTTGCTCTTTTTAGCCACCATCCTTCATGAGATCCCAATTATTCTTGATTTTTGCACAAGAAAACGAAGAAGTCGAGATAAATGGCCAAAACATGGAGAAGAAATGGCGGTGGATGGTTTCTAGATCTACCTGAGCCAAGATTATGAATTGGATATGACCATTAAAATCCTAGATGCTTGTTAAAAATCAAAACAAATAGAATCCAACAACACAAATAAATGGGTAAAACGGAAAGATGTATTACTTTGTTTTTGTGTTAAAAAAAATTCTTACCATATACATTCTTGGACAGACATAATTCCACATAAAAATCCAAAGTCATCTCCAACTTGACAAAATGAAGAATGCAATTGTTGAGAAATGCCAATATGATTATATATGATTACGAGTGGATTATAAAAATAAAATAAAAAATAAAAAATAAAAAATAATAATAGTAAACCACAAATTTGAAATAGTTATGCATGAATAGATTGAATATAACCTTGAACAAATAAGCTCATGATTAGTTACCGAGAACAATGTAGAGATGATCTGTAACAAAGAAACTCATGGTTGCTTACCTAGATAGCAATATGCAACCATGATGGGTTTAGCACTCCTGATGGCGGTGTCAGATACTTGATTCCACAAAAAAAAAACGACATATTGACATGCATTTAATAATATGATCAGGAAGTGTAGAAGATAAATGATATTGTCATCAACATATTGAGACCCAAGATTACCATTATTTCCATTGAGGGTACATTATTTTAACAAGAAATCCAATTAGGTCTACGGTAAGAAAAAATGCAACATTTATAGAGAAAGAATATTGTAGAAAGTTTCCCTAAGCCATGAAACCTTTTATTATGTGTCAATATTCTTTGGAACTTTGTAAACTGATAATATGAGATTTTAGGATTCAACTTTTAAGATTGAAATTGTTAGATAAACCAAGTGTGTTTTAATGGGAAAAGGTCGGAGATAACAGCGCATGATTGGGGAATAAAAAAGGAAATTCATTTAATTGATAGAAGAATATTGTTTGATTTAATTTATTAAGCATTAATGTTAGATTAATTTCTGAAACTTAAATGTAATATGTGTATTGAATGGTAAGCATATGTTGATTGTACATGATGTAGTAGGTGTGGTACCTCTTAAATTTCAAGAAATGTCTAAAATCCTTTATATAATAGTAAAGATAAGTTATGTTTTCAAATTAAACTGCATCATCAGTAATTCGCACATTGATGTAGTTGTTTTAAGATTGTAAAAGAACAAATAGAATTTCCAAGTTCTTTGATATTTTTAAAATTGTTAGATTATAATCAGATATCGATGAATAAAATGTTAACATTTGATAAATAAAATCCATATAACTTAAAATATAATGATTTGAACTTTGATCAGATTCTATGAATCACACGACTTCAACAATGACGATATTCACATTGAATAGAAACGAGTGAAGTTTATAAGTTCACTAATGTCTATAAAATTGAAATTTTATAATCATATTACGATGAATAAAATGATAACGGTTGATAAATCAAAATAATTAAAGAATTGAAAAGGAACAAACTTTTGAATCCGAATCAGAATTTTTCAATAAAATAGAGTATAAATCAGTTGCAACTTGTGTTGATCGAATTGAAGAAGTTGTAGCTATTTGATAAACGATAAAGAAACCTAATTATCGATGATGATAAAACGTAATGATCAACGATTGTAAATTTGAAATCAATCAATTGCGAAATCATCAACAATGATACAAGTTAAATCGAAAATCGTAAATTTTCAAATGAAAAAGAGGATTATGGAAGGTAAATAAGAAATTGCAAGAACAATGCTCTTAGGATCATATTGATGTCTAAATTCATTAAGATAACTAAATTCATTAAAGATGCTCAAATGACAAATGTAACCTGTTGAACAGAATAAAAACTTAAACAAAATCAAACAATCTTAGTATTAGTTCTCAACTAGGAAAGGTTTCCTCACGTTGCAGGGGTTGGAGGGTATTCCATTGTAAAAACAAAAATTAAAGTTGTAATGCAAGTTTTAAAAATTGTGGTTTGTTGGTTTTCATCACTTCGCTTGAGTTTTTATTAGTAATAAAGTTTTATCCAGAATAGCATTGTACTTTGTAAGTATGATTGTTTAATGAGAAAAAATTATAAAAAATTATATTCAAGTCAAAAGGGTGCAGATCACATCAGACATAAATGTACATATCAGATGACACACACACATAAGTTGATACAAATCAGATGACATATACATAAATAGATTCAGATCTGATTACATAGACATACTTACAGGAAGTAATCACAATTAAGGGAATCCATGTAGATTGGGTTACTTGCATACATTTTTTTTAACAGTGAGTTAAAAGATATTTTTAACGTAGTAGGTAGATTAAAAAAAATACGTAAATATTATTACACTATCAACATTTCTAATTAGTATGTTACATTACTTTTGAGTAATTCAATATGTTATTTAGAAAACATTTTAAAATTTATGACTTGTTATTTAAGTGTTTAATGGGTACAACTTTTTATTTAGAATGTTTATTTTTAATTATTGTTATAGCTACATAACTAAAAACTATTCTTTTTTTCACACCAACAATTGTTTTAAAACAGACTTGTTATCATCGACATTTATGTTTCTTGAATGGAACCTGATATGACAAAAAAGAAAAAAAAAATGAAATCTTGAAATCGTAGACGCTGTTTCAATTAAACGACTGACACTGAATTAAAAGTTGCATATTTTTCTACTTTAAACTTATATTTTGTGATTTTCTTCCAACAATTCCATACGATTATATAAATCTTATATGATCCATTAAAATCATAATCATTCAAAACTAATAACTAATTTCAAGAAACTAAATTAGGGCTTACTTGAGGTTCAAAGTCTTGTGTAAGCAATATATTTGCAGCCTTGATTTCTCTATGAATGATTATCCTTTAACATACTTCATGAAGGTAAAGCAACCCTTCTGTTGTTCCTAAAGCAACCTTGAACCTAATACCCCAATCTAATTTCTCCTTCAAAGCTGTAACAAAAAATGTAAAATTCAATAACTTTTTAAACCTTTAGATTCAAGAAAACAATAAGATTACTGACAGGGCTAAATGCAACAAGTAAATCTGACACAGAGGAATTATCATCACCATTATCACTGATCACTGGCTTCTCATGTAACACAACATCTTTAGAAGCCTAAAATATATTACAAAAAATGACAAAACAATTTCAAATCCTAGTGTGTAAATGAAAGAATTACAGCAAAAAGTTTTAACCAGGAATAGAAAAGGGAATGCATATCAAACAAGTCACTGATATTAGCCACACACCAAAATGGATTAATTTTTCTAGAAACACATAGAAGATCAAAGCATTTCAAAGCTATAAACTCATAAATAAGTGCCTATGGCACATTAGAAAACATAGAACCGCCAAAATACTATTGATTCTACCATACAGAGGTTAGAAACTTTTTATAGATTAAAAAAAAAAAAAAAAAAAAAAAAAGGAACTGTCTGAAGTACAATGTAACAGTTGCTTAGCAAAAAGACAAGTACACGAAAACTTATGCACACACAATAACACCTCAACTAAGCAGATAGACTCGTAACAGTGCTTGGAATTTTAATCGATGAATTTGAGTGAATAACATCAACACCAATCCATATACGAAATCAAACATACCTGAGTTGAGGTAAGGTCGATTGAGGTCGAAGATTGAACTATAGATGCCGGAAGTCGACGCGGCTGGAGATGGAAAGATCGAACACGATGGGGTCGATTGAGGTTTGAGAAGATCGAAGGATTGAACACGATTGGTCAAACTCTCTACACCTGGAACAAATGTAATTACTAGACACAACATCTCTACACGATAAAGACGCTTCAGCTCCGATAGCTTCGGGGCGGCGACGACGAGAGAGAGCGGGGCCGTCGTTCACGGAGAAAATGGGGAGCCCTATTTAGGTCAAGTCTGATACGCACCCTTTTTAAGTGAAATAACTCTTAATTTAAATACATTTACTAAACTGCCATTACATTTATATATAAAATAAATTAAAAACTTAATTTTACTAACGACATAATTGATTTTTTTTTTTTTTATTTCAGTCGGTAAACCGTGGGAATTTTGTAACGGATTGCCAACAAAAGTTAGGTAGTGTTTGTTTTTTGTCTTCAGATCTACGTGACCTCTTCTGTCTGCGCGGCGCAGACCACGCGCAGACATTATCCTTCGCAGACTGTTTGTTTTTTTAAAGAATGCAGACCTAAAAATGTATACGCGCCCTCTTCTTGGCGCAGATGTGGACCAGAGTCTTCTAACATCTTCAGACATCTTCTAGCCTAAAAAAAACATATATATCTTTATTTTTTTTAAGTTTTTTTTTTAATTTATATTTTTTCCAACTTTATTAATGATAAACAATTTGAAAAAAAAAAATTACAAAACTTAAAAAAAAAACGTTCGACGATACAAACATGATATTTTTGACAAATTTATAAATAGAGATTTATTACAATAATAGTCGTTGAAGTTGTTTATATAAATATGAAAAAAATCATAATATATTCTTATATTTTTTTGCCAAATTTTGTAAAAATTATTTAATACAGTATCCTCAATTTCTCGAGAAAATATTTATGGTACGTTTTTAATGGATTTAATTGAAAAAATTGAAGTTTATTTCCATCCAGTTATGTATCAAATTCTTTGATCACTAGTTATAATATTTAGTTATAACTTTGCAACCAAAGTTGTTGGTTTTTATCAAATATATACGTTAATTCATACCATTTTTATTTTTATTTTTTATACAATAATACATAAAAGTTGATGTAGATTCGTTAATTATTTATAACAAAGTCATAAAAATATTAAAAAATCACTTTGAAATTTGAAAAAATCATTTTATTTAGATTTCAGTTTATTTTAGTAGTCCGCAGATGTTAAAAAAAAACAGTCTTCTTTTTTCAGACTGCAGACGTTTGGTCCACCTCTTCTACTGCAGAGGTCTACAGATGTGGTCCGCAGACTGCAGACATTTTGCCTCAGAAAAAACAAACAGCACCTTAGTGTGTTGCTAATACGTCGATAGACCGTCACTAACATCTTAATAATTATGTTTTCTTAGGGGCTGTTTGGCAGGATCTGAATTTTTAAGATCTGAATTTTTAAGAGATCTGAATTTGTAAGAGCGTCTGAATTTTTAAGATCTGAACTTTTAAAATGTTGTTTGGTTGGAACCTCTAAATTGTTATGTTGAATTATCAAAATGACCATTTTACCCTTTTGTATTATTTTTTGTTGAATAATTAAAAAATATATATAACACCATATAAAATCCAAATTAATATAAATTAAAATTTATCTTCAATGATTTATAATATCTTTTTGACATATATTTACAAAAATAACATCATTTTTTACATCCCAAAGATTTCAAAGTTAAAAAACAAAATATTTGACATTGAATGTTGAGATATAAATAACAACAAACTTGCAACCGAACAATTGATGATCGATTTGTACTCCTTGTCCATCATTACATCAAACACGATAGCCCCTCAATTTTTTCTTTCAAACATTTCAACCTACAAATCCAAATTCAACAAGGAAACAAATAAACACTTTAAACATATATATAGAAACTGCATATCAAATCCATCACCAACTATGACATCATACTTAAATTTTTTTTTCTTATTAGGAATTTACTTCTGTTGGTGAAAATGAAATGACATTGCTATAATTGGGTAAGTGTTGAGAGCAAGTAAAATGATGTAATAGGAAAATGAGAGTAATAAACAAGTCAAGGAAATGAGACCTTGTTTATATAAAATTTGCCTGTATGGTGTTACAGGAGTGCGGTTGCACACAAACAAACAGCATAAGGGCGATTTGTGTAATTTTCTTCCATTTTCATGTTATGGTTCTAAAGTTTACCATTTCTCACCATATTTATTTGTATATGCAACATTATTTGTTTATTATAGCATTCTTCTTTTTCTTCTTATACTTTGAAAAATCTCTTATTTGAATACGACAACCTTTACTTTGCACTTTCACTGCCATAAACGTCTTGTTAAAAATTTCCAAGTGCATTGCTATATTCGCTAGGTTTTCAACAGTACTATTGGACTATGTTCTTGCATATACCATTTGTTTTGGATTCCTTTTTATAAGGGTTAAATATAAGTAATAATAGCCTACTCCTAAAGGGGTTGTTTTATTTCTGTGATCAGCCATACGAAAAAGGGAATAAATGACACGGAGACCAAAAAGGAGAAAGAAATCCATGTTGATTTTATTGTCTTTGAAAGAATCTTGGCAAGAATTGTGAAATGATGAAAAGTGAAAAATCAATGGAGATGATAAAGAGATACAAACATCACACAGACAAATATATAGATACATAAATCAACTTCAGTCAGGACCTAAAGTTGTGGTTATTAGAACGATGCTCTAATACTCGAATTTCAGGGGAAACAACTCTGATACTCGATTTTCAATCATTAAACTCGAATTACATAGCAAGAGAAAACTAAAACTTTACATGAAGAAGATGTCGAGGGCGAAGCAGCACGACCCGGAGGCGAAGGCGACATAAGCGATGCAGTCGGAGGCGGCGGAGAATCCGGCGACGGAGGCGGCGTTGCAGATCTAACGGAGGCGAACGGATGATGTCGGAGAGTTGTAATCGTGCGATTGGAGATGTAGGGGAAGGAGGGGTCGGCGGTTGTGAAAGAACGAGAAGAAGGAAAGGGGCTACCAGGGCAAAAAAGGAACGCCCGTTCTTTTTTCTAATTCAGATACATCTCAAGATCTGAAAATTTAAGAGACATTTTAAAAATTAAGAGCTATAAATTAAGATGTTACCAAACAGTCTGGATCTTAAAAATTAAGTGATTGCCTCTTAATTTTCCAATTACGAGGCTACCAAACAAGGCCTTAGTCTGTTGGAAATCCGTCGGTATTCCGTCCCTGATCTTGACGGATTTTTTCCGTCGGCAATACTTAGTGGTCGAAACAACCATGGTGGATGAGGTTGTCGTGGTCCGCAACCCTATCACTACGGACAACTACAACAACGCCATCAAAACGGTCACTGATCTTCTAGTGATACAAACCCATCATGTTGGGCTTTTGGTTGGTATCAAACAGCTCTACAACGTTAATCATCATGCATCCATGCCTCAACATGCCACCTTACTTCCCGATATTTTCAACACCATGTCCTTAAATTACCCCAGACATGATGACCGGTACATGGACACTAGCACCACTTCTCATCTTCATGCTGATGCAAGTATACGCAAGTCTATGTTGGGTTAATCTTGATGGTCTGGATAGAATACGGGTCAAGTCGGGTACGGGTCATTTGCATGGGCCATCAATATTCAGCATGTTAATGACTTGGTCTAGAGTTGACCGAATTTGTTGGACTTCAAAGTGAACGGTGGAGTTTGTTGCTACTTAGAAGGAAAACGTGGGGTGTTTATGACATCGTGTTTTTATTGTTTTGTTTGTTATAAATAGGTAGCACTAGTAAATGTATTCAGTAGGAGGTAATTAGATTTTGTGAAAGTAATATAGATACAAACTTGGTGTTTTGATCGATGTTTAAAAGAGTGAGTAAGGGCTTGATTTCCAAGAGTCTATGTCTGATAAAAATTTTAACTCATCTTCATCTATTTGACTATTTTAGTGGGTGATGGATCCTGAATTCCTGTCGCCGAAGTCGGTAATGCCATCCTTTCTCAACCAAATACTTATCGTTTAACGGTTCAACCAAATCACTATCAATAGATGAAAATGATTTAAATTATTAGAAAAGAAATAATAATATAATAATAAGGTTATTTGTTATTTTAATTTTATATTATAAAAATAATTTATATTGTAAAAGTAACAGATCGGTAGTCACGTGATATTTAACATGTATTTAGTTTAGTTAAATAATAGAAAGTTACCAAAAACAAATTTACTATGTTTTGATAAATAAGTTTGAAACTACAATTGATTTGTATATATTTTTTGAAAATACCATGGCATTGTACAAAACTCCAGGCGCTTAAATGTATAGACAATGTCTAGACACTTTAGGCTATGTTTATTGGTAAGAAACTGCAATCGTTTATATATTGCTAAGAAATTGAGATCGGTATTAAACAAGTTTTTAGTATTTGTTACTAACTAACCATCGTCACTGCTTCTTTATCCTACCTTCGAGATATCCCATCTGACCGTCTCCACCACTTACTTCCTACATCCATCTCTCGACCCTTTTCAAAGAGGCGCTCCACCGGCCATCATCCTATTTTTTCATCTGATTTTCTTCTTCTCTCCCCGGCTTCACCTCCAATTAGACCAAGCCCCGACTGTCGATGTCGATGTTTTGTTGCATCTTCATGATACATGCCTTCAAATCTTCAATCGGACTGTCGATGTCAATGTTTTGTTGCATCTTCAGGATACGTGCCTTCAAATCTTCAATCGAATGGACTTTTCCGTCCGATCACGTCGTCGAGAAGGAAAGAGACTTCAAACTTATGATTGAAGTCAACAACCTCATTAATTCCGACTCATCAATTTTTCTCCCCGTCTCCATCTTCTCCGATGAAAGAGGTTCACCAGGTTACCCATCTGCTCTATTGATTTTATTCAAAAATACTCCTCTTTATTCTAAGAGTTTTTTTTTTTCAGGTGACATTGGAGTCCACCCTTGCATCAGATTGACCCCTGAAATCCTCACGCTTGAAATCTTCGCCCAAATCACCAAGTATCCCACCCCAATTTCTCTAAGTTTTAAGATTTTGGTTGAAATAATAAAAAATTAGTCTTTCTTCTCACCTGGGTTTCTCTGATCATAGGAAATTTGTTGGGTTTTATAATTTGTCTTCCACTTTTTTTTTTCAGGACAAAAGCTTGATTCTCAAGAGGTCATCTCTTTGATGCATCATATCCTAGGGAGTAAGTTTTTGACTGATACTACTAAGGTAAGTCGTATGCTATTCATCTTCAACTAAAACAGATTTGAAGTTCACCAAGTATCCCACCCCAATTTCTATAAGTTTTAAGATTTGGGTTGAAATAGTCACAAATTAATCTTTCTTCTCATCTGGGTTTCTTTAATTATAGGAAATTTGTTGGGTTTTATAATTTGTCTTCCACTTTTTTTTTTCTTCGGGACAAGAGCTTGATTCTCAAGAGGTCATCTCTTTGATGCATCATATCCTAGAGAGTAAGCTTTTGACTGATACTACTAAGGTAAGTCATAAGCTATTCATCTTCGACTAAAAAAGATTTGAAGTTTTCATAGCATAACAAAAGTCTAATTAGATACATATATCAATTATTAATACCATGTGTGTGTATATTGTAGCCAAAAACTTCCATTATCTTTTATATTATGTTATCCCACAACTACATGCCATGATCGCTTTATATTGGGAAGTGTCGACTCTAGTGGACATCGATGAGATACTGATGGTAAAGGTACCCTTTTTATTGTATCCTTTTTATATATTTTCTAACTGAATTGTTTACTTTTATGTTTCAATCTTGAGATCGCTAATATTCATCTTCACCATCTTTTTTCTTTTTTGTTTATGTGTGAGTATATATTAATTATTGGTCTTTCTAAATCAAATCAATAATCAGATCTATAAATATAATCAACTACTAACTTTAGGAAAATCCATGTCAATACATGTAGGTTCCCATTTTATCGATTGGATCGGTGCGGAAGATATTACCAAGAAGATAATCGTGTATGAACATGATGAACAATATATGTGAGTAAAACTGTAGTAGATAAATAGAGAGATATAAAATATTACAAGAACACTCATGGTTGAGAGAGATAACTCTCCTATGGTGGGAGAGATCCCACCACACTCTCTCTAAACTATAAAGTCTACATAGTGCACTCTTACTTAAAAATGACCATCACCTCCACTTTATATACTAGTGGAGGGAATATGTTTTTCATACAAGAGAATATTCTAACCTAATAATCACTCAACATTGTAGAGCATTTTCATGTTCCAACAATCTCCCCCTAAATGCTCGGAAATGGTGAGGGTAAAGCAGTGATAAAAGGCAGAACATCCGACAGGCAGGTCCGGTGGGTCTGGTGCTGAAGTGTCTCGGAAGAGCTGGAGCAGTCGTGATCTCGGAATCTGACAATGGAATCTCTAGCATCAAAGAACAAACAAAGAAACCTCAATCTCTGAATAAAAGTATGAAATCCCAATCTTCGAATGTGATGTCTCGGAAGAGCTGGAGCAGTTGTGATCTCGGAATCTGGCAATGGAATCTCTAGCATCAAAGAACAAACAGAGAAACCCCAATCTATGAATAAAAGTATGAAATCTCAATCTTCGAATGTGACCAGTCCCCAAAAACCAATCATGTTCACAGTCTCCCCCTCGACTGTAGAGCCGAAGAGCACAATCTCGAATCACACAACGTCTTCAATATCCCGAAATCGAATGATAATGCACCAAATAATCTGTAAAGAATAACCTGCTGAAATTGTGAAGCATCCAAAAATAAAGTCCGAATGATAAATAATGTGAATCTGAAGACATGGTCTAGCAATGCCAAAAATTCGATATGTGAAGACCAAAAATCAGTGCTACATCACACTACAAAATGAATCTTCGTCTTCAAATGTCTCTAACGTCAAAACTCCAATAGTAACCAGAATGGATGCTCATGATTCTCCCCCTATTTTTGATCGACCATGCAATAAGATCAAAAATAATCATGAAACCGGGCAAGAGAATATGTCGGATAAAATGGAGCATCGCACGCTCCCCCTTGATGTGAGCATCTACCTGTAAAAACGAGGATATTATTTTTCGGTCATGGGTAGACATGGTGATGTATCGCCGAACTGAACAAATACTATAGAATATATATGATAAACCCTACTGCTGAAAAATCATAATGCTGAACCGAAGTGATGCCGAAAATCGAAATGCAAACCCGAACTCCCAAATGATGGTCTGATACCATATATAAATAGTCCGAAGGGAGTAAAAATGCGAGTAGCTCGGTAGAAGTGAGACACCAAATATAATAATCTCTGAACAAGATCGATGCGCAGGGACAAGGTTTGAAAACTCAAACCTTGAGTAAATGCTTAAGATCAATGTCTGCTTGCTAATAATTGTTCAAGTCAAGCCTGGAAAGACCAGTCAAGTCTTAGATAATATATTTAACAAATGATCAAGTCATTAACTGAAGAATGAGAGTAAATGATCAAGGTAAAGTTAATAAATGAAGAACAAGAAGAATGTTTGAATGAACTTAGTGAAAATGCCAAAAGTGAGTGAAAAGATCCGTTGTTGACTTGTATTGAATGCTCCTATAAATAGGAGTAAAGGTTACAGCGAATTAACTAGAATGTTTACATAGGACCGGACAAGCGAAATATTTCTGACATTCTGATTGTCCAAATAAGATAAAAGACTAAGTCCTATGAAACGTTATATCAATACAAGTACAAATATAATAAATACTTTAAGACAAAATAAGGTTCTTCCGGATCAGTATTCATTCCGGACATGAGAGTTACTCCGGAATGCCTTCAGTCTTCTCTTCACCTTATTTTTTTAAGGAAACATTATCACTTATCATTGTAAATATACTTTGGTAACCTTGACATCTAATAACATATTTTTTGTTCTGAAAGGCACAATACCTTCACATACGCAACCCAATTCATCACGTAAGAAATCCCAATCATGGGGGAGTGCATGCACACATGTATGTGGATTTTAGAAATGTACATCCTGGTGCGGTCTGTTTTGAATCATATTGGCTAAGATTAAACGAGATCTTTAGGTAATTATGAAAAGGATCAAATATGAACCCACCACACTGTATATGTTTTTGGGGTTGGAAATTTGAAAACTTTTAAAAAATATCAAAATGTTATGTTTTTGACAGATTATCAAAATAGAATGCAATTTTGAAAGGACTTCCTTTTTTGAGATACTTTCAAAATAACAAACCTACTCTAAAAATCTATCAAAATACCAAACCAGATACAAAAATCTGTCAAAATAGCAAAGTTTAAAAAGAAAATATACCAATACCATGTAGGAAGCATATACCGAGTTTTGTAGTTTTATATTTTTTTTGCTTACAAGTTTTATCATCAGCCAAACAAAGTAGTGATTTATGCTCTCATGTACCTGAATCCAAGTTTATGGAGTGTTGATGTGCTCATATCATGTAATCATGAATTCCAATTTAAATAGTAAGGTAAAATTAATTAGTTTTCTCATTTCATTGACTTGCTATTAATTTAAATTATTAGTACAATGCTTCTACTAATTGTATTTCTCAGGTTCCGTTGGAGCATTTATCACCTATTATGCAGGAAGAAAATGAAGGGACCAATTTTTTTAATAATGTCCAACATGCTGAATATAAGTAAGTTGTTATTATGGGTAAGAAAAATCATACAACACTACTGGAATCGTAGGGGAAAACGAGGACCAGAATACCATCACCAAGTTGCCAGTTGTAGATTGATACATAATTAACTTAATTTCCTAAATCTTTATATTTTATAGTTTTTGATATTTTTCTTTTTGTAAAATTTCAGTAATACAATGCTTATAACGGTGATACAACATTTAATTTTGAATTAATAATGACTTCAGATCAAATAACAATTTAATTACAACCGAAGGCTTCCAACCACCGCAAAGCGGGGGACACTTCACTATTATAGATAAAAATTTTGTTCCCTTAGGAAGAGTAACAGGATCTCATTGGTTTAATTTTTTGAATTTCTTTTTTTTATTTTTTTTATTTTTTTGCTTTGTCTGTCTTTCTTCTTGGGCCGCCCACTTTTCAATTTTTTTATTTTATTTTTGACCGGTCAATGGTTTTCATCGGCTTCTACTATAACTACAACGTGTCTTCCACCGCTTTGCTATCCAATAGGATGGTTACCACTGCTTCCACCGCCTCAATACTTAGATCATTCACATCAGTGAAATACAACTAGTCTTTCAAATGTGCCACATCAGATTTTATAATTACCTCTACATCAGTGCAATAACAACCTTCTTTCAAATGTGGTCCCTACTGCCACATCAATAACTACTTCATTTTTTTATAAGATATTTACTTTAATATTATATCAATAATAAAATAGTATAAGTAATGACCATGTGTAATCTAAATAAAAACAATTATTAAAATAAATACTCATAAAATAATAACGAACTTGACCATTAGTCTATAAAAACAATAATGTTGAAAACAAATTTTGATGATCGAAACTATCATGCTTAAAATAATGTAAAGGAAATTGATTAATTAGAATGTTAATATAAATAAGGATGTAATATATAAATAATATTATATAAAGATGATGGGTCCCATTTATGCTTTGCAAGCCTTTCATCTGCTGAAAGACATATGTTTAGTTGGCTTGCAAATGAAGTCCACTTGTACTTTGAAAGGAGATTGCAAGAGGGGATGTGGATGCTCTTAGGTCATCCACATCAGTACAATGTCACTAATCTTTCGATTGCAAGAGGCGATGAAGTTAAAGCTAAGATTGCAAGAGGCGATGTGGATACTCTTAGACCATCTATATGAAGGAAGACGACTTCGGGAAATTTCAGGCCTAACTATATTAAAATTAACATCATTATCTGTATAATCAAATTGACGAATATATGAATCACGTTAATCTTCCACAATTAAAAATGGTCCCCATTGCCATATTAACAACCACCTTTTACATTTTAATAAAAACACAATTATAAATTATATATATATATATATATATATATATATATAACAGAAGAGTAATTAATCATACATATATCATATATAACTACTATCTTTAAAATAATATAAATATGATGACATGTATTTGCAAATGAACTTGCAAAGTTGAAAGATAAATACATTTGTGGCATGTCAAACCCATTTGCAAGAGGTTTGCAATGACCGATGCAGATGCTCTTAGATAGCTTTTCCCCCACCGTCTTTCTATCTACAGTCCTTCTCTACCCCTCTGCTTTCCTCCACCACCTAAACTGATGTCGGCTTTGTTTCCGTTTTCCTGATGAGTGTCACATCGTCTTCTTCTATGAAGCTTTCATTCTTCGTCTTATTCTCTGAAGCTTTCTTGGAATGTAGGGTAAGTTCTTCGCTTTCGATGGGTTTCCATTTTGGTTTGCTTACGCTTTTGTCTACAAATCTATTCACCAAAATACCCTCTCCTTTCATAGTTTTCGATTTGGTTTGCTTATTTTGATGGGTTCTGATTTGTTCAGCCGGTTAATTTCAAGAAACTCAGAGGTTATATGTTCATTAGGCTTTACATAAATCTTTCGCCCATAATCCTTGGTTAAATCTTTACAAATCCCAGATGTTACTGATCTACTTTTTTATTTTGATTTTTGGTTGCAGTTAATGTTTAATTTTGATGAAGGAGATATGAGTTTGTTCGGCATATTAGTAGGGCGAAGGGTGAGTTTGTTTAATCTTATGATGTAATTTTTATGTTTCATATTCATATTTTCATTCGTTGTTATTAACAGTAACTCTAACATCTTCTATCCTCTCTCTCAATTTTTTATTTTTCTGTAGCTATCAAGTTTTATCCATTTGCCTACTAGATGTTTGTAAAAATGCCTTAATGAAGTCACTAATATATCAACTACAGGTAACGCCTGGAACTTTTTCTATGATCTCGAGGTTTCTCACACAACAACTCTTTTTCTTCTTCTAAGTATCGTCACAAATTGGGAGTTTGTTATTTTACTTTGATAGTATCACCACCCTAAATGTTGTTGGATGACCCATCTACAAATTTGAAAATCATAGTTTTCTTCATATCTTGGTAGTTTTCAATATGTAAATGCCTTTTATGTTCTTTGTATTTGAAAAACTAAAAAATACTTACAAAATAGTTTGTGTTTTAGTGGTTTGTGGACATTAAAGACAATAATCTTGCTTCCTTACTCTTAGAGAGAGGCTGAGAGAGAGTTTGGAAGCTAAAAATACAAAGGGTATGCTCATCTTTTTCTCTTTCCCTGTTCTTCAATACCCTTTTTCTTCTGAAATATGAACTTACTTTTGTGGAATCTGCTGATATACAGGCAAAGAGACAGAGAGCATGGTAATCCTCTCCTAATCAAACTTGAAAAATCCTTGCAAAAGCCAAGGCAAAAGGACTCCCCCTCTTGCTACTCATAGAAGACGTCATTGCTGACAAGTTTGTACCTGATGAAAACTGCAAGGTTCGTCTTTACCTTTTTGTCAAAACTAATATTTGTTTAAAAAGGTTAAATTAATATATATATATTTTTTTTACTATATGTAGATTGTGCCAGCATCAGCTATCCCTGATGGGTAGATGAGACTAGATATTGGACCTGATTCAGTCAAGAATTTCAATGATGCCTTGGAAACCACAAAAACTGTCATTTGGAATGGACCAATCGGAGTGTTTGACTTTACAAAATTTGCAATTGGAAAAAAAGTGTTTTCCTGTTCCATATTATATATATTCAACTCTTTTTCTCTTGACCTTAAACCCACCACAATCTGTGTCGACAGATTTTTTGGAGGTTGGTTTTGGATTCTTGTGTAATGAGGTAAACAGTTCAGTTTTGCAGCAAGATTTGTTCAGATTTTATTCATTTGCTGTCTCCATCTACTTTTTTATTTGAACTTTTTGATAGTATATGTTAAGCAGGGTACTGGGTATAATGTAAGAAAACACAAATCATCATTTGTGTTTTTTGTTGTATGTTGCTCTCAATTTTTAGCTTCATATATTGTGTCCTTGGAATTTCAAAACGACAAAACCCGAACCGAAGCAATTCAAGTTTCTAAGCTTTCTCCATCTTTTGTAGTCAGTATAGAAATAAATTAATCTTTACATGCAAATGCTTTAATTTTAAGAAAATATAAAACCAAACTTTTTACTACCACATTACAAGAAAATCCAAATGAATTACTCTCCATGTGCAATGATGATTTTGAACACGAATTGCAATATTCAGAGAAGCAGTGGATAAATGTTAATAGGCATCTTTTTGATCTGGTATGTAATAAAAATTTGATCAGTTCTTTCTGTATCTTATTAAGAGTATCTTTCTATTATTTAACCAATAAATACCCTTGGATGGAATGGAATGGAATATTGTAAAACATATTAAGATAACATTGGAAATAGAATGATATTATTAACAAGTTGACGAAAGTACTTGTTTTTTTTGGAATAGAATTTGAGAACCATACTTTATTTTTCAAATATACGAAGCGTATATATGTGGCCATTATGTTATTTTTTTCAGTTTCCTATTGAAAAAGTTATAAAAGAAACTTCACTCTTATCTTTATCTTTACTATGTAATAAAATATATTTAACTTTTCTTCTCTTATCTTTATCTTTACTATGTAATAAAACATATTTAACTTTTCTTGAATATTAAAAGGTACAATTCAAATAACATATAATATCATCATTATATACAAACATGCATGGAGAGAAAACGGGTCCAATTTAAGTGGTAATTCCTATCATTACTCAAATCTCTGCCCTAATATTCCATTATCTCTTTCCCTAAACCCATACCTTCCCTCCTTTCTCTGTCTCTTTGCCGCCGATCGCTCCCCCACTATGCCTTCCTCGCCACCGACCTCTACTGTGTCATCCACCACCATCCCCACACTCCACCATGTCCCCACGCATCAGACAACATCACAACCAATACACTACCATCGCTCAACGACCATACAACACTACCCTCTTTATCTCTCTAAGAAACCCTAGATTGTCATCGCTGCTACACCCCCACTCTCTATCTCTCCTTTATGTCCTATGTTAAAAGCCACCGCTGTCACCTACTTCTCATCCCTATCTGTCTCTCTCTAATAAAACAACTCACCACCACCATCGTTATTGTCCCTTGCCCTTCTCCCCCTACTGCAAGCACTAGATCTAAACCACCAGTCGCCGCCATTAATAACCAAACTCCCTATTTCTTCTTCTTTCTCACTTAAAGGTTCAATTTTTTATTTCATTATTGTTTTAGTTTTTTACTCATTTGTGTTATAACGGCTTCCATTTTCTAACAGGGGTATTAAAGTTACCACATGTTTGAGTTCCTACTAATTTGTTCTTACTTATTTTGTTTCTTTCTTGATGCTCTGGTTTTTGATTATATGATTGTAGATATTGATTGCAACATCGCTACAAATTTGAAACCTTGCAACATGCATCATCTACCTGAAAGGCTATTCATTGCAGACGAGGTAAAACAATAGTTTTTTATGTATGATATTGTACTCATGTTTAACAGTGGTAAATACTTGTAAAACTTTGATGTCATTTTTATATGTAAATCTTGGTTTTGTTTCTTAATTAGATCTCAATTTGCTTTGATTTTTACGGATTTTTAAAGTTTTACATTTAATAGTTTTTAAATTTAGTATTTTGATTTAGGTGTTCTTGTCAATAGAATGATGTTGCTAGAAAACATGGTGGTGGTAATGAATAAGCCCCAGTCAAATTGGACAAGATGAGACTCAACTGGAATAGAGTTGAACTTGACTGAACTGTGTTGGACAAATTATTTTTTATAACTTTTGGTATTATTAGAACTAACCCAATAAAATGATAGAATTTCTAGATTGTCCTTAATACAAAATAACTTACATTACCTTCAAATTCATCTATAAAAAACCTAAATTTTTTTTATCTAATTCAAAAGGAATCATTTGTGAAAAAAAACAAGTTAAATAAAAGTTTGAGGAAAAACAACATTAATCTTTTTTCTACTTCAATATGTGAATTAATTCACAAATATATACTTCTTGTACATTATCAACATGTTAATTTTGTAGGAATGCCAGCTGACAGTTGTGATTGTTTTGAATAATATTCCTATTGGAGAATTGGGTGTCAAGCAACAACATGATTGTTATGAAATCCTACCTGATGGCCCATGAAGTGTTTGATAAAATGCCAAAGCGAACACCAACTTTCTATATACCCATCCACCTTCATAAGGTTATGAAATCCTGCCTAACGAATAATACTTTTCCATAATAGCTTCGTTTTGCCAACATGCTTTATTCTTTCAAACACTAAAACTTAACTTCTTGGTCCCTAAACATCAAAACGTCTGTAAAATGATAACTTCCCTCTTTTTTACACATTTTTTTTTCTTTTGCCGCCCCTGGTTCAAATGAAACGGATTTTTTTTATGGTCATGTTGTACAATATTAAGAAAGTCTCAGTTGTGTAATCTAATTAATTTGCTTTTTGTTAAATCCACAGGTACTTTCAGGAGCAATTTTGGAGCTTTACATAGTCATTAAATGTATTTTTAGCAGATGCTTCAGCTGGTGCATGTAATTATGTTTTGTTTGGTAATCTTATTCATCTCTGTTAGTTCATTATTTTTTATCTGATGCTTCAGCTGCTGCATCTGATTATGCTTTTCATGGTTGTCATGGTTGTTAATGTGTTATGATGAGGCCTTGTGTAAGGAAGAACTGAATGGTGGTTGTTAAAGTACATTCTCTCTTATTGTGTGCGTGTGTTTACAGGTCATGAAATGGGTGCTTAACTATGTATGCGACCTTACATTATACTACCAAAGGAAGAGTGCAAGGTAAGGAAGAACCCTTCATGGTGTATGTAAAGCAGGTATGTGTCTATATTGTATATTTTGTTATTAGGTCTTAACATCAGTTTATTTTTCTAAAAGAGTATTTTATTGACTTGGTAAAAAACACTAGAGATTGGTTGCTACCCGTTTGTAATAAATCTATTTTCTTTTTTTTTTATATTCAAACTTTCTCATGTATGATCATGGCTTCTAAAAACCTTTTATGGTTTACAGTGCTTTAATGAATACAATTTTTTTTAAACAACAATATGATAGTTCTTTGGGAGTGGAATAGTGTACATGAGTAAAGCCCAAGATGTTATTTCTATTCCATTTTTGTCAAATTATGCTCAAACGGAGAGGGGTGTACGCTGATATGGAGTTCATTTATTTTCTGGTTTATAATTATAATATTTAGCCTTTCATTAACTAAAGCTAATTGTTCCATTGACAGGAATCTTCCTAAGTCTGTATTGCCAAATTTGAGTACTCATCTTCTAGAAGTCTTTGTGGAATCTAAAATGCTTGTTTGTGGAAGAAAACTTGTAAACCACGTTCATTGTCATTTGTGGGATTATCTCATGTTGTTGATTTATCTAGGCTGTGGTGTGCTTTCATTTCAATAATGTAAATAAATTGTAAGTTTCTTAAAAAATTAAGTTGGTTGGCTTACTATAGATGACTCAAATGTTATATCTGATATGATTAACTAATGGTAATCTTTTGATTTTTCTATTTTAGGCAGTTGACTATATGGTTCGAAGCATGTCAGAATAAAAATGTTAAGGTAGTGTCCAACTTTTATATGTTAAAGTTGGTTTTTATTTCTGGACTCAGGTGTTTAAAGATTACCTCTTATGGGTTTGGATATCTCCTCCTGCTGTTTTGAAGATTGAGGTATTCCCCTCCCAATCTCTTTCAGGGCTGCTTGTGGTTGTTTCGAGTTTGGCATAGTTGTTAGTCTCTTTCATCTGTTAGGCTTTAGTTGTTATTCCTTGATTCTCTAAATATCGGGGGATCTATTATTGTTGGCATGCTTCTACTCATTTATGATATTCAAGTTGTGAATAGATGGATTTCAGACTAGGTTATTGCAGTTAATAAAAGAGAGAAGGCCTAACGATGAAAAATATATAAGTAAGAGGACGTGTCGAAGATCCTGCTTCAAGTTTTAGTTATGGAAGATTTGATTTTGAAGTTAGAGTATTTAAAGTCAAAGTTTGCAATGTTTAGTATATCTTTAATTTTGAGTTTTTATCCTTTTGTAATTCAAAGTTTTTACCCTATGTGTACTATTTGATCGATTATATTTGGTTATATTTTATAGTTGCATTTGTAGTTTTTTTTATTTCTTTTGTCTATGTTGAAACACAATATTACATGCCACGCTTTGTTAATCGGAAGAATGAAATTTAAGTTAATGTTTATAAATAATGGATTTGATTGTTATTCATCGGCACTTGATTCTAATAAGAATGTTATTAGAATTTGTTAAAATGAAAATTAATTC